ACAGCTCACCTCGGTGCCGTCCAACTCTCTGGTAGGTGTTCCAAGAGTTTACAGCTCACCTCGGTCTCAACCTCTCTGGTAGATTGTTCCAAGAGTTCACGGCTCACACTCGGTGCCGTCAACCCTCTCTGGTGATTGTTCCAGTTCACGGCTCACACTCGGTGCCGTCAACACTCTCTGGTAGATTGTTCCAAGAGTTTACAGCTCACACTCGGTGCCGTCACAACACTCTCTGTGGTTGTTCAGAGTTTACAGCTCACACTCGGTGCCGTCAGCACTCTCTGGTAGATTGTTCCAGAGTTCTCGCTCACACTCGGTGCCGTCCCAACACTCTCTGGTGGTTGTTCCAAGAGTTCAGCTCACACTCGGTGCCGTCACAACACTCTCTGGTGATTGTTCCAAGAGTTCCGGCTCACACTCGGTGCCGTCACAACCCTCTCTCTGGTAGATTGTTCCAGAGTTTACGGCTCACTCGGTGCCGTCACAACCCTCTCTGGTGGTGCCAAGAGTTCACGCTCACCTCCGGTGCCGTCACAACCTCTCTCTGATGGTGTTCAAGAGTTTACAGCTCACACTCGGTGCCGTCACAACCTCTCTGGTAGATTGTTCCAAGGATTACGGCTCCACCAGTGCGTCAACTCTCTGGTAGATTGTTCCAAGTTTAGCTCACTCGGTGCCGTCACAACCCTCTCTGGTAGATTGTTCCAGGTTTACAGCTCACACTCAGTGCCGTCAACACTCTCTGGTAGATTGTTCCGAGTTTAGCTCCACTCGGTGCGCCAACACTCTCTGGTAGTGTTCCAAGTTCAGCTCACCTCGGTCCGTCCAACCCTCTCTGGTAGTTGTTCCAAGAGTTTACAGCTCACTCGGTGCCGTCTAACCCTCTCTGTAGATTGTTCCAAGGTTCGCTCACACTCGGTGCCGTCCAACCCTCTCTGGTGGGTGTTCAAGAGTTTACAGCTCACACTCTGCCCCCAACACTCTGTAGATTGTTGAGTTTACAGCTCACACTCGGTGCCATCACAACACTCTCTGGTGGTTGTTCCAGAGTTTCAGCTCACACTGTGCCGTCAACACTCTCTGTGGTGTTCCAAGAGTTTACAGCTCACACTCGGTGCCGTCACAACCTCTCTGGTAGATTGTTCCAGAGTTCACGGCTCACACTCGGTGCCGTCACAACCCTCTCTGGTAGATTGTTCCAAGAGTTTACAGCTCACACTCGGTGCCGTCCAACACTCTCTGGTAGATGTTTCCAAGAGTTTACAGCTCACTCGGTGCCTCGCACTCTCTGTGATTGTTCCAAGTTCTGGCTCACACTCGGTGCCGTCACAACACTCTCTGGTAGATTGTTCCAAGTTCACGGCTCACCTCGGTGCCGTCACAACACTCTCTGGTAGATTGTTCCAGAGTTTACAGCTCACACTCGGTGCCGTCACAACCCCTTCGGTAGGTGTTCCAAGAGTTCGGCTCACTGTGCCGTCACAACACTCTCTGGTAGATTGTTCAAGAGTTCCGGCTCACACTCGGTGCCGTCACAACACTCTCTGGTAGATTGTTCCAAGAGTTTACAGCTCACACTCCGGTGCCGTCACAACACTCTCTGGTAGATTGTTCCAGAGTTCACGGCTCACACTCGGTGCCGTCACAACCTCTGGTAGTGTTCCAAGGTTTACAGCTCACCTCAGTGCCGTCACAACACTCTCTGTAGATTGTTCCAAGAGTTCACAGCTCACCTCGGTGCCGTCACAACACTCTCTGGGATTGTTCAAGAGTTTACAGCTCACTCGGTGCCGTCACAACACTCTCTAGTGGTGTTCCCAGAGTTCACGCTCACACCTCGGTGCCGTCACAACACTCCTGGTAGTTGTTCCAAGAGTTTACAGCTCACACTCGGTGCCGTCACAACACTCTCTGGTAGATTGTTCCAAGAGTTTACAGCTCACACTCGGTGCCGTCACAACACTCTCTGGTAGATTGTTCCAAGAGTTTACAGCTCACACTCGGTGCCGTCACAACACTCTCCGGTGATTGTTCCAGAGTTACAGCTCACTCGGTGCCGTCCAACACTCTCTGGTAGATTGTTCCAGAGTTCACGGCTCACACTCGGTGCCGTCACAACCTCTCTGGTGGGTGTTCCAAGAGTTCACAGCTCACTCGGTGCCGTCACAACCTCTGTGTGTTCAAGTTCGCTCACACTGTGCCGCCAACCTCTCTGGTAGATTGTTCCAAGAGTTCACGGCTCACACTCGGTGCCGTCACAACCTCTCTGGTAGATTGTTCCAAGAGTTTACAGCTCACACTCGGTGCTCCCAACACTCTCTGGTGGGTGTTCCAGAGTTTACAGCTCACACTCGTGCCGTCACAACACTCTCTGGTAGATTGTTCCCAAGTTTGCCCACCTCAGTGCCGTCACAACCTCTCTGTAGATGTTAGGTTTACAGCTCACACTCGGTGCCGTCACAACACTCTCTGGTAGATTGTTCCAAGAGTTTACAGCTCACTGGTGCCGTCACAACACTCTCTGGTAGATTGTTCCAAGAGTTTACAGCTCACACCTCGGTGCCGTCACAACACTCTCTTGGTAGATTGTTCCAAGAGTTTACAGCTCACACTCGGTGCCGTCACAACACTCTCTGTAGATTGTTCCAAGAGTTTACAGCTCACACCGGTGCCGTCACACACACTCTCTGGTAGATTGTTCCAAGAGTTTACAGCTCACACTCGGTGCCGTCACAAACTCTCTGGTAGATTGTTCAAGAGTTTACAGCTCACACTGTGCCGTCACAACACTCTCTGGTAGATTGTTCCAAGAGTTTACAGCTCACACTCGGTGCCGTCACACTCTCTGGTAGATTGTTCCAAGAGTTTACAGCTCACACTCGGTGCCGTCACAACACTCTCTGGTAGATTGTTCCAAGAGTTTACAGCTCACACTGGTGCCGTCACAACACTCTCTGGTAGATTGTTCCAAGAGTTCACAGCTCACACTCGGTGCCGTCACAACACTCTTCTGGAAGATTGTTCCAAGAGTTTACGGCTCACACTCGGTGCCGTCACAACACTCTCTGGTAGATTGTTCCAAGAGTTCACAGCTCACACTCGGTGCCGTCACAACACTCTGGAAGATTGTTCCAAGAGTTACAGCTCACACTCGGTGCCGTCACAACACTCTCTGGTAGATTGTTCCAAGAGTTCACAGCTCACACTCGGTGCCGTCACAACACTCTCTGGAAGATTGTTCCAAGAGTTACGGCTCACACTCGGTGCCGTCACAACACTCTCTGGTAGATTGTTCCAAGAGTTCACAGCTCACACTGTGCCGTCACAACACTCTCTGGAAGATTGTTCCAAGAGTTCACAGCTCACACTCGGTGCCGCACAACACTCTCTGGTAGATTGTTCCAAGAGTTCACAGCTCACACTGGTGCCGTCACAACACTCTCTGGAAGATTGTTCCAAGAGTTTACGGCTCACACCTTGGTGCCGTCACAACACTCTCTGGTAGATTGTTCCAACAGTTCACAGCTCACACTCGGTGCCGTCACAACACTCTCTGGTAGATTGTTCCAACAGTTCACGGCTCACACTCCGAAAAAGTTTGCCCTCACAGTTTTTCGGCACTTGACATTATTAGGGACCTGCCACACTTTGCTATAAACAGATGAAATGTAGCGGGAATTTCCCCCTCCCCCTACACACACACTCATCATTCTGTCACTTTATGTAACTTGCTGACAAAACCCATGACCCTTCAGGCTTCCACGCCCTTAATGCATGAGTCATAAAGGCAAGCATGAACTCCGCATGCTTCCCTGTTGGGCGCTGTAAACGCTTCTGCGCTTCACCTTGCACAGGATGTAAGGGGGTGCCCAATAAACTAGCCCCCTCCGGGGCAATCTGTAAATCTGTAAGGACTTTCAACTGAGTAGTGCCCCTTGAGATGTTTATACACCTCAGTTAGGTCGCCCCTTGTCCGCCTGTAGTATAAGCTAGGCAAGTTCAGGGTAACTGGGGTGCCGCAGCAGGCACCAGTCTGGTGGCCCTCCTTTGGCCATTTTCAATCTTGAAAAATGTTCTGTTAGAATTTCTACGCGTTCAAATTTTAGTAAAAATAATTAAAATAAACCCAGAATTGAAATAGGGTGGATAAATAGGGTGAAATGGGTTAAAGACGTTAGAAAATGTGATAAATAGAAAGAGTTGGGTACTTGAAGCGGCCTTATTGAGTTGGTTAGCGAGTGTCCACACGGCCCACGTGCTAATGGTTTTAAATTCGCTGCTTCCTCGACCATTGTGCTTTGCCAGTCATACCGCGTGACCGCCTCATCCTCTGGTCACCCACCTGCACGATTAGCCATCCACACTTGTCATCCAAACAAGCAATTAACCCCTGATTGATGTGGATTGGTATAAAACGCTAAATTTTCACCCCAAGTTAAATTGTTTCCCGTTGTGCGGACTTCTAATGGCGTCTGTGATTGCCAGAAACAAATTATTACATTTATAAAATCCTCTCAATTTCTATCATATTTTCCGATCATGTGGATAAATATAATTAAAAAAAACAATAACTAGATGACATAGTAGAGGATAATAACGTAAAATAAACTTAGAAATAGACAAAAAACAGCTTAAATAAATAAAAATACCACACATACACAGCTTGACGAACCCCATATGTCCTCAATAGTGCAAGTCATTGTTATGTCTGGTTCACCAAGGTCAGTATACTACAGTCATACTCTCAGTTCATTATACTCGTGAGGATATAACTGTAATTTATCCCGTCACTAAACTCGATTTACAGTTGGATTTCTCTATAACATCTGGTTTCTCTGTTTACATCTCCTAGACTAAATATGTTACATTGAATTTCATCTGCCATTTTTCAGACCATTCGTAAAACAGTAGGTAAACACAAACAGGGAAAACAAACACGGGTGTAAGGTAATAAACACAGGGGTAAGAGTGGAATAATGATGTTTGTTTGTTTGTTTCAGTTGTTTGTGTGACATAGATGGCCCCTGAACGTGTACTGCGAGACCTTCTGAGAGTCAGTGGTGAGTACCTGACCTGACCTGACCTCACCTGACCTGGCCTCACCTGACCTGACCTCATGGGTGTTTAACAGGGAGTGGCCATGGGCTTGTGGGTTTGATCCTTATCCAACAGGTCCAGGTGTCAGGTCCAGGGGCCACGGCCAACACTAAAAAAAAAATTACAAATTCAAGGCCTCATCGTAACACTTGGCCAGACAGTGTTGCCAAAAACCTTTGTCTTTTACCCAGATTAAAGTTATTTTTCTCACCCATGACCGAATTGTTTATGCACTTGGCAACACTTCACACCCTTGCACTTGGCTTACTCACGAGTCCGTCTTCAAGTTCATCTTTTCTCAGCATGTACTTACACCTTGAGGCACTTACGTACGCCCTCACGTCACTATTTAGGAGGACAAATTTAACGAAGGTAGCATTTGAGAATCTAGTCCAATATTGCACAAAGACTCAGTGTGTGTGTGTGTGTGTGTGTGTGTGTTATACTGACCTATTTTAGTGGGACAACTGATTGGCCTTGTATACTATGCAGTTTAATTCAGTCTGACGGACGAGACAGACAGACAGACAGACAGGTAGACAGACAGACAGACAGGTAGGTAGACAGAGAGATATACAGACAGAGACGTGACCTATCCTCGCGTATATACACTGTAGAACACGTCTGACCTTCACTACCTATTACAGTACTATCCCGTATGATGACGTTCTTCCTCTTGTGAATCCGTCCGTCCGTCTGTCTGTCTGTCTGTTTCTTGATACGAGCGCTTGTCCACGATCTATCTCAACGTCTATTGGTCCGATTGTCATTAGATTTTTATAGTTAGTTTATTTAATTGTTGTTTAGGTGTGATTAGCATATGGTGGCCAATGGGTGATTTTTATGCCTTTTACCTGATATGTGATTGGTCGATAGGTAGTCAGTTATATACTGCTCTGTGATTGGTCTATACGTAACCAAATATCACATCCTGCTCTGTGATTGGTCGAGAGGTAACCAAATACTTACTCTGTGATTGGTAGACAGGTAGCCAATGATAATCTTGATACACTTATGGTACAAATTCTTTTTAGATAACTCAAGGGGATGAGTTTCTGGGGCGTAGTGAACGAACCATAACTAAAGTATATATTTAATAACAGGGAATTTTTGTATTATTTGATTGTTTTCAGAATGTTTCGTTCAGGCGTGGGGGGGTGGGGAGAGGGGGGTGGTATATGCGTAGGTGAGGGGTCTCTCTCTCTCTCTCTCTCTCTCTCTCTCTCCAGATACCCTAAAAAACTTACAAAAACGCCAACACTCGACAAGGTTTTAGGTAATAAGCGTTCGTGTAAGGAGTCCGTGTTGTGAGCAGACAGCCCTCCCCAAATAACACGGCTGTCAACCCTTGCAAAACACATATTGATTTCTGGGCTATCAATTACCTTGTTTGGGCGTAACTAGTGATTAGGCTGTTACGAGGGGATGATAGTCATGATGGAGAGAGGGGAGATGAAGGAGAGGATGAAGGAGAGGAAGGAGGAAGGAGGGATAGCATCTAAGCCTTCTAGAGACGACTGCACAAGACCACGAACCTTGGGCAGATCAAGATGCTATTTAACCAGATGTTAATAAAGGTCATATTAAACAGTAAGAAATAACAATAATCACCCTAATGTCCCAGTTTGTCTCACCTGAAGATTAGACACCTCATCTTATCGCATTCAAGGAGTTTAAATGAACTAGGGATCTGAAAGGACATTGGAGCATTAACCACACCATCTGGACCCCTTCATGTGGGCCCCAGTCAAGAGTATGTCATGTTCTCTATGACCCTTGGATACGTGGCTCTCCCTGGCATAGTGTGGCACCTCTTGGCACTGTCTGGCATATGTTTGTGTTTCATGTGTGTGTGTGTGTGTGTGTGTAGGGGAGTTTCCTGTTGTGTGTGTGTGTGTGTGTGTGTGTGTGTGTGTGTGTGTGTGTGTTTTCTCTGCCCCCTCCCCCCCACTCATCAGAATAATGCTAACAGGACACACACACAGACACATCAGGAAGTTGCCTCCACACACACACACACACACACAATCTCGTTATCCCAAGGTCGGCCAGTTTATGAAGTGGAAAAACATCCTGCCCAACTTAGTACAAAATCCCACCACCACATCACCACCACCACACCACCGCCACACTCACCACCACCACACCACCACCGCCACACGCCACACACTCACCACCACCACCACCACCACCACTCCACACTCACCACCACCACCGCCACACTCACCACCACCACACCACCACCACCACACTCCCACCACCGCCACACTCACCACCACCACCACACACCACCACCACCACCACACCACACCACTCACCACCACCACACCACCACCACACCACCACCACCACACTCACCACCACACCACACACCACCACCACACCACCACCACCACACTCACCACCACCACACCACCACCGCCACACTAACATTCCATCTTATTAATTTAAAAGTAAAGTCTACCTAAAAATAGCCCAATTGAATATACTTAACAACTAACTCCCAGCATAGTAAAACGTAAACACGATTCCTCAAACACTTGTGATTGGCTGAGAAGCATCACACCATCCCCACACCTCCTCCTATTGGTCGGTTATATGACAACAAACTCGTTTATTGGTTGATTACCCAAACATTGCCCTTTTCTCGCCTCGGTATTGTATAAAGGATAACAATTTTGTTTTGAATACTTAGTGATTTTGTTTTCGCATCGTTTAATCCTCTTATAAAGGATTGTATGCTGTTGATAAGGGTTCAATAGGGTTTATAAGGCGGGTTTAATACTATATTAGTGCCATATTCTGTGGGTGTTGCCAAGTTGGTGAGAGGTGATGCTTATGCGTGGCTGACTGGGTCTCTTGAATAAACATTACCTCTCTCTCTCTCACTATTTATATATACTTTCACAACGTTCTACAATGAGAGGGAGTGGGGTCATGTCAGTGTTCTTTAACTAGGTAATTACAACGTATGGTTCTAATAGGCCCCAGTTCTAATAGGCCCCAGTTCTATTTGACCCCTGTTCTATTTGACCCCAGTTCTATTTGACCCCAGTTCTATTTGACCCCAGTTCTATTTGGCCCCTGTTCTATTTGACCCCAGTTCTAATAGGCCCCAGTTCTATTTGACCCCAGTTCTATTTGACCCCAAGTGACGAAATCCGTACACGGTGACTGAAAACTTACACAGAGTGACTTAACGACTTAATTGGGGACATGACGTCAGTTATTTGCCACGTGACAACTCCGTAAATTAGAACACACACACACACACACACACACTTCATACATACAAACACACACACACACACACACATTCTACATACATACATACATACATACATACATACATACATAGTTCAGATATATAAACAATGGTTAACTATTCACAACACTTCAAAAAACTATTATTACAATTATAAACAAATAAATTAAATAAATACAAGCATTAAACGAGGCTAAAGTTATATATATAGTTAATGATTTATTTATCTGAAGTGTGGCGCCGTGTGTGAGTTAATGGGGGTGCGGCTGTGTCTCGACCAATCACGAGTCAAGGTTTAGTTGTCGTGTACGTGGCCAGCCAATCAGCGTTCAACATTGGGTTAATTTTTTTTTTTTTTTGTAATTCTCTTATTTTTTGGTTTTATCCCTAGTTTTTGTATATAATATTAATATAAAAAATAATAGTGAAAGAAATAGAACACTTGTAATAATAGCAGCACTAATAGATAATAGTAATAAACGATAAAATTAAAATAATATATAGTAACTGGCACCTCAGGCAGTCACTATGGCAACACCACCGAGGTTTTAAAAGCACAGAAGTGTCAACATTTCCTTCAGTTGACAAGAGGAAGTGAGTCGGTATAGACGGTCTAATTCCTTGGACATCTTGTATTAAATCACCATCCACGTTATTCAGATCACCACCAATAACGAGTCGTGTTATTGTTGTCTTGTGGAAAAGGTTATTTAACGAAGAAATAGACAAGAAAGGGAATGGAATACACTTTTGCCAACAACACACAAACGAACGGTGAGTAAATAGTTTCCCCTTGTTATTCTTGCGTTAGTTTAGTCTGTTTATTTATTTGTTAACGTTAAATAACCTTACAAGCAATAACGAGCCGACCAATGGCGAAGAGTATAAGAATAATTAAACCTAACAACTCCATAGGCCTATACAAATTGCCCTGGCTTTTTTTAATGGATATATAGGCTGGTTTAATTATATAGGCACCTTTATATTTTCGTAGGCCTCGTGAATAGGCCTATGACGTGTTCCCCAGTGTGTTTGGAGAGAGACCCACACAACGGGGTTTGGATAGATAGTTTGGTAGATAGACAGACGAGTAGACAGATAGACAGATTGACGTACAGACAGACAGACAGACCTTCAATGACTTCCTTGCTTTGATCTACTCGTATCTTGGTATGCCTAACGGTTATCGTGTCGTCTCTCCAAGGCCGCAGTCCGTCGAGCCGTGGGTATATAATAACATAGGCTTGTAGACCTTGAGCATGGGCTTCCTTGTGGGCGTGGGTTAAGTATCAGGGTTATCTCTGTTCTCGTGTAGGCATGGGTTGGTCTATGCTTCGGTGTGGGTGTGGGTTAAGCATGGCCTGAACTATGCTTTCATCTTATAAGCTTAAAACACGTAATAAGCTGTGTTGTGGTGGCAGTTTAATGACTACGTAACCTAGATACTGTTAGCATTTGTATTCAGTTATTTTCCCAGTGTGGGTTAAAGAGTGGGTTCCATGAAGTTCCATGAAGAGGAGTTGCCAATTATGTTTTGTTCTATGTGTATAATGACCCTGGTGGTTTAAATAACTCGTAGTTGTTTGTGTGTGTGTGTTTGTAGAGTGTACGTTAAGTTTGTGTGTGTGTGTGTGAAGGTTTGATTGATTGTATGTATTGTGGATCTCTCTCTCTCTCTCTCTCTCTCTCTCTCTCCACCAATGTACTGTAATATAAACGCTTCCTGCTTAACTCCTGGTAAAATCGCGGCTACGCAGTTTGTTGCGTCAAATGGTAAATTGCGTCATTGGGTGTAATGTTTTATTGGGATTTATTTGTTTGATTTGGTTTATTGTATTTTACGTGTAGGACTAGGGCAACTCTCTCTCTCTCTCTCTCTCTCTCTCTCTCTCTCTCTCAGTATCTTGCGCCATTATCAACCACAGGAATTAACTGTTCCTTATAGCGGGGTTTATTTACTTTTATGGTGAACTTCAAAGGGTTCAGGTAAACATTATTGGAACCCAAATATCAACCACTTTTTTTACCCCTCGTATCCTGACAGTGTCTATAAACGTTATATCTTGTAATTCTTATTATTTATTTTTATAACCAGTAAGGGTCAATTTCGTATAGAATGGTGTAGTAATTCCGCCATTAAATATACGACTTGGTGTGGGTGGTGACGTCACTAGGGCAGGATTGTTATAGGTGGTGACGTCACACTTGGGAAGGCTGACTTGGTGATGACGTCATTATAGTGAAGGTATCTCATTGGCTGACTGGGCAAGGCCTCCATGGTGTCTAAACCTTGACTGTATTTTTAACGGTCCTCAATACTCTTAATAAACTAAACTAGAATAATTAACTTATACCCTAAACACTCATTAGTATATAAATAATGAATTAATCCACTAATCCACACGTTAACAATAGGTTAGAAAATAATTAAGACATTTTTAGCTTTCTAACAATGACGTAACCACAAAATAGGTATTGTAAAAAAAACTAAGAATTCTGGTTAAATTTGGGTAGAATGAACTGGTGTGGAGAGAGAGAGGAATTCTAGTAAGTAGTAGTAATAGTAGTAGAACAAAACAAGTACAATAGTAGCCTCTTGAATAATCTGCCCACTGTTCTCTCAAGGTCACACAACACAGGCAAGATACCCGGCCAGCAATCACGTTCACCTCCCCCACTGAGAATTATCTCTTAATTATTGAACCATTGTTTTACATATCTGTTTTAATCTCATGTTAATATATTTTTTTGTGAGATGGCGTAATGTAAATAGAGATGAATAAATGAGGGAAGTGGTGTAGAGGGAGAAACGTGGGCAGTGGCATTAGAAATATCCACAAGTATTTGTTCTTTACCTTAATTGAGATGAATAAAAGAGAATGAAAAGTAAAAAGTAGATGTGGTTTATGTTTTTGTTATTGGTGTGTAAAAGTTGAGGTTCTGTAGACAGGAATGTGAGTTTACATACTGTCTGGTGTGAATGTGAGATTTGTCACGTATACCACACACACTGGCCTGACCGCACAACTCTCTCTATCTGTCTGTCTGTATGTCTGCTTCTCTCCATGTCTTTGTTATTCTCTTTTTACTATCAGCTCACTAACCACTCGGTCGATTAGTCTATTCCTTGTTACTCTATTATGACCTTTACTGTCCAGTGTTAATACAGGAAGAAAGTGCTATGCCCTTATGTGTAAATGTCATCTGAATTCTTGACCATTGAGACATTTATTCAAAGGTAATATTAAATAAATGTATTTTAGTTACTCTGTATTACATTACGATTAAATTGTATTCCTGTAAACTTTATCAGAATATCAATAATTGACTCTTGTTTGTATCTCAAATTATATAGTCTTTTTTATATCAATATATCAGTAAGTACTTTAAATTTTTGTTGTTTTATCATATCACTCAATTAAACTCTGTCTATGTTGTCAGAAGTTAAAGATAATGTAGTTTAAAGGTAGTCATTCAGCCATGGCAAGTGACGTCATAGTTTGTTTACACTAGAAGAATAATAGTAATTTAAAGGTTAGTCATTCATCCATGGTAAGTGACGTCATAGTTTGTTTACACTAGAAGAATAATAGTAATTTAAAGGTAGTCATTCAGCCATGGCAAGTGACGTCATAGTTTGTTTACACTAGAAGAATAATAGTAACCAAGACAAGAAACTGTACGGGTATTATCTTAACATGGTGTACAGTATAACAAAACGGGAAACACCCAAATTACACCCAAACAAGGCATTCTAATATATATATCCTCTATTAATTAAGATAAAAAAACTAATACACCACATTTATTGATGATTTAAAACACTAATACACCACATATATTGAGGATTTATATAGTAATGTATTTTACAGGTGAGGCGCGCGTCATAGGGGAATTAATAACTGGACGGGACGGTAACAACTACGCCCCTGGTGGTGAATCCTGGAAATGTGCCTTTGCCCCCGATGAGTCCCGGTTTGCTTGGTCTTGTGGCTTCAGGAAGGTTGTAATTCTCCCATGGAATAGATATAAGAATTGCCTGTAAGTTTATTCGTATTCTTTTATGTTGTGGTTGAGATAAAACTCCGGTTGATAGCTGTTATCTTAAGGGCCCTTTGGGGGGGGGGGGTATTTTTTATTTAATGGGCAATTAATCAAAAGTAAAGACAAGAATTTATTGGTATAGTGTTTGTGATAATATATGTGGCCTGTATTGCATCTGCTGTATTGTACTGTATTTTGTAGTGGTTTAAAATAATTATTTATGATGTTTTATTTAGTGTGCTGTTACATACTTTGCAGCTGCATGTACAGTTGAGGAAATACTGATTGTCAGGTACAGTGTCTGGCTGATAATGGAACCCACTCTGATCTTTACTGACTCTCTCTCTCTCTCTCTCTCTCTCTCTCTCTCTCCTTCCTTTATTTCAGTATATTGTAAGAGATAAAATACATAAATACCAAATTACTGTATTATTTAGACAATTTCCTAACAGCTACACTACAGTCAATATCCAGTGATTTTGTATTTCCCTGTTTTATCATCATAGACTACTGTATTATCTGTTAGTTCTGTAATCTATCGTGTAAAGTGTAATATTATTTGAGGTGTTCTGTTGTTTGCCTAAAATACTAATATTTCTTTTATTATTTTTTTTTTATTTTCATATATAGATTGGGACACAGACATAGAGGGTAAGTATCTTTGACCTGTTGTCTGGGGCTGTGTGTGTGTGTTCGGCTCCCACGATGAACGGGTTTTTATTCGGGCTTTTGTTTATGTCGTGAGTCCGATGTGATTTTGTTTGCGGTTTTTGTTGTTGTTGTAGTTTTTAGCTTTTATTTTCTCGGTAATTCTTCCTTTTATTTTTGTTTTATTTTTATATTGTTTATTATGTGTTTGCTTCTATAGGTTTTCTCTTCACTAATAATAGAAATCACTATTATTTTGCCTCCTTTTATTTGTGTATTATATTATTGTAATATCGTAGACCTATTTAAGAGTTTATTGCTTATTATTTCACCCGAAGATTAGACACCCTACCTGAATTTATTTTAACATAATGTAAACTTAACCTAACCAAACCTAACCCCCATAAATAATATTAAGGGGATTAATCATTTATTGCAATAATCTGGGGTGTCTAATCTTATTGTTAACCATAGTGTGTTGCACGTTGATGTTATTGATTGCATGGACAGAATAAATTACTGTTTGTCGATCACCATAATACACTGGTAGTTAATATTGTCTTCTACTTTAATTAACAGTCTAATGGGCACTAATGGGAAATATTCTCGGTTGTTCCGGAAATTGCCCTTTAATCATCTAGCGAACTCTGAAAATTATTCCCCATCCTCGGAATTTTCTGGGTATTGGAAAAATTTTCTCTGAATTTTCCATAAAATGAGCCCCTCGGATAATCGTTCCCATAGCCGTAATTCTCCGTAAAATTACTGCCTTGGGAACGATTTTTCGAGAAAATTTCAATTCCGGCTATCAGAGAGTTCTGGGTCTGAGGGATTCTGGGTAACGGAGATTTTACTGTACAGCTGTTAAATGGGTCCTATAAATACTGCATTATAATTATTATCATTATCATCTTCACTTATCTTGACCAATACATATCAGGTATCTATTGTCGTAAATTACACTTATTTGTAAATACTATACATTGAAACACCTTTATTTAACAGACAACAGGGAGATGAAAGTCCATTATGTCGAGGGTTCATTAGATATAAAACCTCCATCTAATGAACTATATAGAGATGAAAGTCCATTATGTCGAGGGTTCATTATACGTGACACTTCCATTATATGAGGTTTGTGTTATAATAGGTTAAATCAGATTAAGTTAGGTTAGGTCAGGGTGAATTATCTAAGGTGAAATAAACTCAAGTGACGATTCTTCTGGTCATTTATTCAGTGTAATAAATATAATACAGGTGTTATTGTATGTTATTAATTAAGTTTCTGTCTTTGCATGCGTACGTGCACCAGTGTTGTGCTGTCGGTGTGTTGGGGAGAGTAAGTAGAGACGTTATGTAAAGAAGGTTTTATTTTTTTTAGATTCTTACGAGGATTGGACCACCCCTGTCTAGCTCGCCTGATGATGAACCTAACCAGTGTTAATATAATCTATTTTGATGTTATTGTAACCTAATCTGATCTAACACTCATCTATCAAAGTTATCTAATGCTAACCTAACCTAATCAAACATTAACCTAACCTAGTGTAACCTACCCTACCCTACCCTACCTAACCTAACCTAACCAAACCCCTAGGTAGCATGCCATTACAATACTAAACCATCAGAAAAAAATAAACTGGGGTGGCTAATCTTCACATGAATCTTATTTATCTTGCATGTACAGTATAAATAAGTCGCTGAGGTGCATTCTACCACGGTATATTTTAGGCAGGAAACGTTACCAGTAAGTTCGAGTTTATTCTCCGCACTAGGACGGTTCATAGGGCCATAGCACGGCTCATTTGCTACTCAAACTTATTACCGCATTTGTCTACGATGTTGTGGTAAGTTTACGTTCTGTTTAAAGTAGTTTGGTTTAACCCTCCGAGGACTCAGAGGGTTAAAGCATCGTCGCCAAAGGGTGAAATCATCGTCCTCAAAGGGTGAAATCATCTACATCCAATAATTAAACCATCGTCATCAAACTGTTACCCAATAACTAGCGAGAAATTTTTATTTTTTCTCCCACTTGATAAACTCGGTAATGGAATACAAGGAAGGAGAAACATTCACTAATATACAAGTAACAAGAAACATATTTACAGACATACACCACGACGGCTGGACAAATGGTAAACACTACATGCTGGTCGTCTTGAGAATAATATAACCCCAATGTTGATTAATAACACCGAGTATTTGCACCACACACGATGTTTATACCATTATTTTGCTCTCCTCGCCTTTTCCGAGCAATAATTCTCGACTGTAAACGTGCGCTAATTATTTACGTCCTCTCTTCCAGACAATCGGATCGAAACAACACCAATGGAGAAGGTTACGAGGTGTTTGCCGAGAAGATCAACATCGATGCCGGTTTTCCAGTCACTAGTTTAGCCTTTGGCACGGGCACCCCAGAGCAGGAGTTGGTACCGGTCAAGAGGGAGTACTGGACGAGGTTCAACTTCTCTAAAGATTTGATCCTCGCGACGGGACACAATAATGGCCGCATTAGGATCTGGGACCCTTATACTGGTAAGGTCTCTCTCTCTCTCTCTCTCAACTAGATGCTCGTTACACATGGGTTCAAACTAGATGCTCGTTACACTACATAGGGGGTCAAACTAGATGCTCGTTACACTACATAGGGGGTCAAACTAGATGCTCGTTACACTACATAGGGGGTCAAACTAGATGCTCGTTACACTACACACGGGGTCAAACTAGATGCTCGTTACACACGGGGTCAAACTAGATGCTCGTTACACATATGGGGGTCAAACTACATGCCCATACCCCCTAGTTTAAGGCAACGGAGGAAATTAATTCTCTACATCAATTTCCAGGGAAGCTTTTACTGGAGTTGACAGACCACATGAAACCTGTGACAGATCTGGCCTTCGCTCCTGATGGCTCTCTTAGACTTGTGTCGGCCTCGAAGGACTGCACCATTAAGGTTAGTTTGGGATACAGCGATGTTATGCTGTATTTTTTTGTATTTTGGTTTATGTAATGCCATTTATAATACAGTTTTATTCTAGGGTTTTGAAGGTTTTAGAGCTGTAGTTTTGTATTTCTATAACGAATATTTAGTCAGATTTTGTAGTGAATTTAGATATATTTGACCAGACATACAATACCCATTATGTTTTGTGTAGTACTGTAGCACAATGATGGCTACTCTTGTCATGTTACCACTTGCATTAGATTGTTATATATTGTATTATATCAATATTCCTGCCATAATGACCATGATTATATATTATTGAGCTGTGTATTGAAGGTACTGTGTAGGTTAGGTACAGAACTCACGCCATTGTTACGTTTAGCTGTTATTAATGAGATGTTTTCCTTACATTGTAATTACTAAATGGCATTGTCAGTTATATTTTTTTTTTGCTGTATTTATAACAAGCTAACGGTGGGGGTCACTCACCGTTAGTTAAAACAAGCACTTTACACTAAACGGGATAGTTCACGCCTCATTTGTAAGTTGAATGAGATGATTTGGCGTTTTCAGTAACATAGAGATTGATTTTGTTGGCGTAAGATAAAGGTTATTAAAGGCCTTACCGGGCAGAACGTTGTGTAAACTGTTTGTTGTGTGTCGACGTCCTCGCACTGACCGCCGTTCCCCCCCACAGGTGGCCTCGCGGGACTGAGACGACCGCCCGGCCATCTGTCTCATGTGCCCTTGTTTTGAACCCCTGCGTGGCTCTGTAGTGTATGTCTGTCTGTCTGTCTGGGATTCTTAAAAGTTCTCATCTTATTTTTCAGAGTCTTAGCACTTTACATTATAACTCTGAAGAATTTTGGCTTTTATTTTGAAATATTGTGTTAGGTTATTGAGTATTTCTTGTACAATATAATATTTAATGAAGAACAAGTGTTGTGTGGTTTAGTGAATAGTTCAGTTTAGTGTAGTTTATAGTGCACTTTTTCCGTGCTCAGAAGAGATGCCCCGCTCCCTCCTCAAGAGTTACATCTGATTGGTTGTTTACAAATTTGTCCGATGTTGCCGTTTTGGACGAGAAAGATATTTAGCTAAATTATATAAAGATACAAACATTAATTATTTCAAACATGAGCAAGTAGGAAGTTTATCAGAAGTATTATACAAGAATTAACTGTTAAACTCTGGTAGCAAATTGATGCTTTCAGAGGATGCATTTAATATATACATATTTTTACCTACAATAAGACATACTAAGACAAATTACATATCAGTAATATTACATTATGCAAAAACTAACATTTTAAAAGATCAGAATCACATTGAAATATTACCCGGCTGTCAAGAGGCGGGAAATATGAAGTTGTCCGCCGTCATATTTTCCGCCTCTGCTGACAGCTGGAGTGGCCAAGCTACTTCCCTCCCCCAGTCTGTCACAATCATCCGCCAACTTTCAGAGGTCGTGTAATATTTTAATGTGATTTTGATCTTTTAAAATGTTAGTTTTTGCTTAATGTAATATTATCGATATGTACTTTGTCTTGGTATTTCTTACTGTGGGTCGGGGCATCTTTTCTCATCTGGGGAAAACTCACTATAGTGTAGTGTGGTGTAGTGTAGTGTAGTGTGGTATAGTGTTGGCCACCAGTCACGTCAGTACTTCACACATCAACACACACACACACCCACCCTAGCAGTACATCGCCAACAGTCTAAGATTTAATGATATAAATATATTACTGTATAAAAACGTTAAAAATAAAAATAATACAACTGTCATATTCGTGTAATTTTTGGAAACTTGATAAAGAATAACGATGTAGGACCAGTACAGTAATTATCATCTTTAATAACATCATTTATGGGTCACAGCTGACAACCCTAGATAATTACTGCTGTAAATTGACCTATTTATTCAACTCGCATCAACTAATTTAATTTTGTCGTGTTGTTGTTGACGCCACTCTGATAAAGACGTTTTATATACAGGTGTGGGACATGTCCGATGACGGGAACATGTTCAAGACGCTTAAAGAACATCCTGGACCAATCAGAAGCTTGTGTTGGTCACCTGATGGGCGGTACCTCTGTTCTGCTGGGGACAAACAGAAGGTAAGTACTGTTGTGTGTGTACCCTGTTGTGTGTGTACCCTGTTATGTGCATTCCCTGTTGTGTGTGTACCCTGTTGTGTGTGTACCCTGTTGTGTGTGTACCCTGTTGTGTGTGTACCCTGTTGTGTGTCTGTTTGTGTGTGTCCGGGTGTGCATTCCTGTTGTGTGTACTGTTGTGTGTGTCCCTGTGTGTATCCCTGTTTGTGTCCTGTGTGTGTGCCTGTGTGTGTCTTGTGTGTGTACCCTGGTGTGTGCATTCCTGTTGTGTGTGTACCCTGTTATGTGCATTCCCTGTTGTGTGTGTACCCTGTTGTGTGTATACCCTGTTGTGTGTGTACCCTGTTGTGTGCATACCCTGTTGTGTGTGTGTACCCTGTTGTGTGTGTACCCTGTTGTGTGTGTGTACCCTGGTGTGTGCGTACCCTGTTGTGTGCATTCCCTGTTATATGCGTTCCCTGTTGTTTTGGATGAGTAAAGGGAACTAGGAAGGAGGGAATAAGATTAAAATAATAAATAATGACTTAATAGGTGAGAATGATAATTGACTAAAGTAACAGTAAAGTTCTTAGACAACAAGATGAAATTACTAATACCATCACTGATCTTGTTTACAGTTCGTCCTTATAATCTGATAATCTCGACGTTTTTTCTCGCCCCCACAGGTGCTTCTCTGGGACATGAATTCGTATAGCTTAAGTAAGAGATTCTGCGGACACTACAATAACGTGCTTTCCTGTGCGTTCTCCCCCGATGGTGCTATGCTGGCCACGGCCTCCTGCGACACTCGAGTTATTATCTGGGATACCTCCAGTGGTGAGTTATTGTCTATGTTACCCATTGGGCCATGTACTGTGTGGCCATGTTACCTAGTGGGCCATGTACTGTGTGGCCATGTTACCTATTGGGCCATGTACTGTGTGGCCATGTTACCTATTGGGCCATGTACTGTGTGGCCATGTTACCTATTGGGCCATGTACTGTGTGGCCATGTTACCTAGTGGGCCATGTAGTGTGTGGCCATGTTACCTATTGGATCATGTATAATAAATAACATCACATCTCCTCCCATATTGTGAGCGAGATAAATAACAGAATATTTCTTGACAGGTGAACAGTTAAGAGTTCTCAACCATATGAATCCTCCCCCCGGGGTGATCTACATGTCTGGGGAGAATAACTCTGTGGTAAGGGGGGTCGGCTTCTCTCCAAATGGCTGCCATGTGGTTACGATATGTTGTGACGGGTAAATATCTCTTTTTATTTTATTTACCGGTAGACGGTGGTGATTAATACCTTTAATTTATTACACCTGATGATTAAATACCCTGAACCTAACCCTTATTATTGTTTTAATCTCCCGAAAGGTTTATCCGTTTCTGGAATCTGATGTACGAGGAGGATGGGCCAGAGAGTGTGGGGTCTGCTCTACCTGGTGATGCGATGCTGAATTGTTCGTTTTCTCCCGTAGGCGGCGCTGTGTCTGTCGGGTAAGTGGATTATTATTTTTACCCCGTTCTTATTGTCTTAGATGAGTTCTGAGGGTGAACGGTCGGATAAAAGTGGATATAATTTATGTGATATTTTAGCGATGTTATGATTGATGATTGAGGTAATTATAATCTATGGTATATGATGATACAGGTAATTATAATCGACGATCATCGATGATAATATCGACCCTTAATACCAATATTTTTTTCCCGGACGTCAACAGTCATGCGTCAGGCAGCGTTGTTTTCTTCCTGGCGCCGACTATGGTTCCGTCGTTGCTCCATCTGTCGCGTATGTCTGTGCGCCGGTCGCTGGGGGACATCACGGCTAGGGACGACGTAGTCTTACCTCACACGCTCAAGCCATATCTCCAGTACAAGCAGTGGTGATGATGGCGTAGTGAACTATTCCAACGACGCTCTGATGAACGGTCGGCAGACGTGCGGCGGCGGTTGTGGTAAACACCGCCGCGGTGCACTATTCCTTATTTCTAATTTATTGGAAATTTTCGAGGGTCCAGACTCCTGTTAGGTTGTAAGGCTCAATGTCTGTGTGTACGTTTGTTCGCCATTTTCACGAGGATTATTGTGTACAGTTGATAGTTTGTCCTCCGAGTCAATATAATTTTTACTCTCATTGCGGTAAATATTTGTCGACTTTCACACAGAGTATTTTTGGTTGTCACTCCAGTCTTCTCTCTGTCGTTATACCATTTATTGACCTCATTACCACATGACCAGTTCACGATATGCTGCGTCATGCACAAGCCGAGCCACCTGTATTTTCTACTATTTACTTGTAAAAAAAACATATTAAAATTTTCATGACAAGTAAACATTCATAATTTGATTCTCCTAAATAACGATAATTTACTTATCTTATGGTATGTTAATAGATTTAGGCTGCTTATACTTGATGGTATTAACCCCTTGTGTATGGGGTCACCTCTGAGCTGAATAAAATCATCTGTTGTTAATATTAAAAGTGTCGTCCCTGTAGTGAAGGTGTTAGTGGTGATAGTCTACTAACCCCTTGTGTATGGGGTCACCTCTGAGCTGAATAAAATCATCTGTTGTTAATATTAAAAGTGTCGTCCCTGTAGTGAAGGTGTTAGTGGTGATAGTCTACTAACACCTGGTGTCTGGGGTCACCTCTGAGCTGAATAAAATCATCTGTTGTTAATATTAAAAGTGTCGTCCCTGTAGTGAAGGTGTTAGTGGTGATAGTCTACTAACACCTGGTGTCTGGGGTCACCTCTGAGCTGAATAAAATCATCTGTTGTTAATATTAAAAGTGTCGTCCCTGTAGTCTACTATAAGCTGTAGGGACGGTGGTCATCATCAGTGGTAGTTAGCTGTAGGGATGGTCTTTGTTTTCGGTATTTAGTATCTCAGGAGGTCGTTATTTTTGCTCACTTTTCCAAAAAACTTTAAAGACAGACCAAGCATCTCTCTTTCATATGACTGGGGGGGCGGGCGAGCATTGATCTCTAGAGATAGATTGATAGATAAACGGAACAATGGATAGATAGGAGGATAAATAGACGGAAGGTAGGATGGATGGCTAGACGGATAACCAATCACATTCTCCTATCATCTCTTATTTAAGTTCCTTTAATAATAATAAAAAAAGGTGAATTTAATCTTCCTACACATGGATCACAATTATTGGCCCATATGCCTAACAAATGCCAATAATTGTGATCCATGTGTAGTATATATATATATATATATATGCTGATAACCACAAGGAAAAAGAAAACACAGTTCCCAAGTGCTTTCATGTAACTCACATCTTCACAGGTGAGTACAGATTAAGGAGAAGTACAAAACAAGGTGTATATATACAGAGGAGGGTGAGACCAGGTCCACAATGGTCAGGTATTAGGTAATGACCCTACTAATCTTTAAAAAAGCATTAATGTTACAACTGATGTACAGTACAGAACATTACAGTACAGATGTCCCTCAATGTTACAACTGATGTACTGTACAGTGCAGTGCAGTTCAGTGCAGTACAGAACAGGACAGTACAGATGTCCTTCATTAATGTTATAACTGATGTACAGTACAGTACAGATGTCCCTCATTAATGTTACAACTGATGTACAGTACAGTTCATTTCAGTACAGTACAGTACAGATGTCCCTCATTAATGTTATAACTGACGTACAGTGCAGAACAGTACAAATGACCCTCATTAATGTTCCAACTGAAGTACAGTACAGTACAGATGTCCCTCATTAATGGTACAACTGAAGTACAGTACAGTACAAATGACCCTCATTAATGTTACAACTGATGTACAGTAGAGTACAGTACAGATGTCTCTCATTAATGTTACAACTGATGTAAATAAATGTATCTTTAGCAGGGTGAGTTAAAAGTCAGTTATAATAGGAGAAAGTTATTTATTTCCTTGTTTACAACGACTGATTTAACTGAGAACTCTTTACGTGAATGTGTTGTGATGTAGTCACTGAAGAGCGGCGACGTACAGTACAGTGTGTGTAAAAAAAGAAAAGTTTCCACTGAGAAGGTATATTAATACACCCTGTACCTGGACCCTAGTGGCAGGAATGTGGACTGAGGACCACCATATGTATGGTAATAACACAGTAAATATAGTTTATACCTTTAGAATAACTCAAGAGGCACTAGAGTGTGAAGTAACAAGACGATCTGTGACCAAGAGGAGAGAGTAAAATAAACTTAACAAGACTTAACATAGTTTCCCTTACCAAAGTGACACTATTAAATATTAAATGCTTATAAATTTATTTAAATAATTGAGTGAACAATTGGTAAATTTTTATTTTTTGACTAGTAATTAGCAAATACAAATTAAACTAAATAAATAAATAAAAAAAGAAATATATGCAGAAATAAAGGAGAAATAACAAAAATATCCAATATTACCAAAACTACAATAAAAACTAGAAACAAAAAAGATGGGGATCATCCTTCTAGTGACACAAGGATCATGGAGGGACTCCCCTAACATATAAAGGCCCAAGAAAACATGAAATAGAATAACTTGGCCTGACTGAGACCGGCCTGGTACTGCACCCTCAGAGCTAATGGTTCATCTCTATATCACCAACCAACCCAACTACTTCAATACTGTTGTCGACAGTGAAGGACAGACCAAGACTGTCAAGATATAAACAAATTTAATAGAAAAATTAAAAAAATTATCTATGAGGTCAATATTTATTATATTGGCTGTGACTTAATACTTGCATTTTCCTCCAAGTTCACTGATCAAATATAATAGTTACCCCAGGAACGTTTTCTGTGATCAAATATAATAGTTACCCCTAAAACCTTCCTCTTATTAAAACAAGAACTCAATCCTTTTTATTCTTCTTCCTCTCATCAAACACAATCCTTTTTATTCTTCTTCCTCTCATTAGAATATGACTCCAATGTATGTGATCCACTGACCTATATATGCTGCTGGTGAATGTGATGTATTTCCTTCTTTGTGTACGAACCTCTGTCCTGCGTGGCAGTGAACAGTGACATTACCCACATGAATCTGACCTATATATAGTGTCAATGAATATGATGCATTCTTTGTGTACGAACCTCTGTCCTGTGTGGCAGTGAACAGTGGCATTACCCACATGAATCTGACCTATATATAGTGTCAATGAATATGATGCATTCTTTGTGTACGAACCTCTGTCCTGTGTGGCAGTGAACAGTGACATTACCCACATGAATCTGACCTATATATAGTGTCAATGAATATGATGCATTCTTTGTGTACGAACCTCTGTCCTGTGTGGCAGTGAACAGTGACATTACCCACATGAATCTGACCTATATATAGTGTCAATGAATATGATGCATTCTTTGTGTACGAACCTCTGTCCTGCATGGCAGTGAACAGTGACATTACCCACATGAATCTGACCTATATATAGTGTCAATGAATATGATGCAACTCTTTGTGTACGAACCTCTGTCCTGCATGGCAGTGAACAGTGACATTACCCACATGAACTTGACCTATATACATTTATAATTGTTAATGAATATGATGTATTTCTTTGTGTATGAACCTCTGTCCTGCATGGCAGTGAGAAGTGATACCACCCTCAGTGTCAAGACCTGACTGAATTACTCACAATAGGCAAACTGTACTACAAGCTCTGCCAATAAATTTGTTAAACTAAAAAAAAATTTCCTCTCATCAAAACCACAAGGAAAGAATGCAAGATAGATGGAGGGAGGCCTTATATAAAGTTATCAAGGCATTATTGCCAAAGTACACACAGTGACAAAATTTACACAATTTAAGATAATTAATAATATGATAGAATATTTGTATAATTGTTAGATCATTTAAAAACTAAATGTAATGTAAAAGTTGTTCCTTTTATAGAGGGTGAGAGGGAGCCGTGTGTCATGGCCTCCTCCATGTAAACAAAGCGGAGAAAAATATTGTGAAGAAAATTGGTTTGTGTTGGTGTAATATTGTGTTGTGAGGACTCATTTGGGTTTAGTGTGAATGATAAGTGTGCAGGGATTATGGTGGTGTAAGAGAGAGAGAGAGAGAGCCTTATAATAGTTGTGAGAGACTTGCTGTGTGTTGGTCTGCTGGCAGGAGCAACAGGTAGGCACGGCTTATAGCACTATTTTACCCTCACTTATATATCATATTATTGTATGTCAATAATTATTATTTACCAATGGTTTTACTGTATCAATTTGACTAACAATTTATAAATATAATATAATATCTTGAAGGTTCTAAGGTTGTTGTGGCCCCAGAATATACTACATATTATTTTATTGATAACTTTAAACTATTGTAACACAGTAGAGATAGGAACACGTAAAGGAAGATAGAACATGATTAAATTAACCAACAGCTCAACGTTTAACAGTTTAGGTATAGACTAAAAAATGTTTATCTAACCTAACCCAATTATATGTCCATAAGAGAAGTGGGACATCTTGGAGTATCACAAGATAATTAAGGGAGATAATGATTAAGCATTTAACATTTAAGTTATTATGTAATGACTAGTGTAATAATGCCCACAGCCATCCTGTCCACAATCCCATTAAAATCATAGACAATCTCCGCAGCTAACGGTCAAATACCCTTTGGATATTTGGCCAGCCAGCACAGTCAAATAACACCTTCATAACTTGTGGTGGTGGAGTCCCTTAGTACCACAGTACTGTGTTTATATTTGATTCATATTATCCACAGTTGTTCTGTGGATGATGTAGTATTAATGGTAAAATTTCACTTGTTACCACCAAGCATTTGGAAGTTGAAATTATGCTTGATGGATGTAAAATGTTATATAGATTTGATTCTATTGTTTGAAATTTTTTGGTACAAATTTAGAAATTAAAAAGTTTTGATTTTAGGGGAAAATTTGACATTTCCTACGAACATATAGGACAAGAGTGTACAGTGTATGTAATTAATTTGTATTTAGTATATATGTGCACTGTATGTATTAGATATAGAGTATATAATTAATTTAGGAAAACCTAACCTAACCTACTCCAACTTAACCTAACCCATGCACTATACCAAGATCTGGTTGGTTAACAAACCAGCAACTAAAATATCTCACTTATACAGTACTTAATTTGTGACAGAAATGCCATATAATAAAAGTGTTTTAGAATGATCAAAACTACTGATTGCAACCGTAAAATTATTAAAATCTTGATAAAAAAATTGAAAGAGAAATACAGTAAATGGCTCCCTTCCATTCCTTGATATCCTTATCATGATAAATGACCAAAACTACAACTTTAAGATATACAGAAAGCCGACACAGGTAGACAGTTTCAACCATTACCAATATGTTAATAAGAAATAGTCCAAGTTTGGATGTAAATGGAAGTGTTTATTGTATTTCATGTAGTAAATGTAATGGTCATTATGTAGGAGACTGCAGCTGAGGTTCAAACAACACCTTAACAGTGCCATGTTAGGAGTAATAATCACCCCATTACTTGGGATAAAACCTTACAAGTATTCTAACATCTTGTGTCACAGGAAGACTTGTGGTTGAAGCTCGTTTGATTAAGGAATTAACATCAATAAACCTTAGTGGCGAAGAGGAAAAAAGTGAAAAGTAAACAACAATGAATTAATTCAGCCTTAAATTTGTATTAAATCTTGTATGTTTGATTAAGGTTGGATTTTATTATTTATTAATCCCTCATTTGATATATTTTTGGCGGGAAGAGAACAGAGGAGCGTCTGATGCCGGGCGCCGGGAGCCAGTGCTGCTTCAGACGTCGCCGGGGCAGGTGTCGGGCGTCCTCAGCTGACATACTCTGTTCCTACAATGTACAGTAAGTGTTATTATTGATCTATGTGGTTAAAGGTAAAGGTTGAGAGATAAATGTGACTTGTGCATCATTAATGGTGGTAGAGGCTCTGACACCTTAACACTGTGTCCCGCCATTATCGTCCCCCCCGCGTCTCCTCCATAAATCATAGTGCGCATGCGTGCCAGTACACGTCACTCGACCAATCAAAGGCGTGTATATGTTTTGTTGACCAATTAACGCGGCTCTTGGCTTAAATCGCAGTATATTTGGACCAATCAAATTGAAGCATTGCTCCGAGTGACAGTTGGTTCAGTTCCGTCGACCATGACAGAGACGAGTGAGAGTTATGGAAGAAACTATATCGGTGTTTATCGGTGCCATCGTCTTCCTCCAACCTCAGGTAAGTGTACTAAGACCAAGACAATGTAACGACCGACATATGTGACGGGTAAGAACCTAACCAGGCCATTAGGGTATGAAATCCAGGGCGTAAATGAAGAGGAAAAATATTATATTAAACAACGGCGACAATGGAAAAGTTACCATATTTATTGTTAATTATGATAAAAATTAGTTATTACGGTTATTAATGGTTAAGAAAAATGTTGTCTAGTCAGTTTAAGTTAAATTAAGCTTTGTTTCTTCAGGTTAAGTTAATTGAGGTTAGTGTTACGGTTGGTTAAGTTAGGTTAGGTTAGAATAAGTTAAATTAGTGTTAAAATAGATTAAATTAGATATGTTACATTACTGTTAGATTAAGTTAAATTATTTTACTGTTAGATTAAGTTAAATTAGCATTAGGTTGTTTAATCATCAGGTGAACAGATCTAAATTATTCCTAATATTAAGATAAGTAATCCATTTAATCTAACCGGGTCTGACAAATTACCCAAATGTAGCCGCAATAAAGTCCAATAATGGTCCTACATGAATAAATCGGACTGCCAATCACTTCTCGACTAGTATTTGGTGTCACGGTCACAAAAAATTGGTAAACTTAATTTAACCTGAGTTGTTAATGTTAGGTACATGCACTTGATCTATTAACTCAGATTAAATTAAGTTTACCAATTTTTTGTGACTGACACCAAATACTAGTCGAGAAGTGATTGGCAGTCCGATTTATTCATGTAGGACCATTATTTGACTTTATTGCGGCTACATTTGGGTAAAGTTGGACCGCTAACGAGTAATTACGTCTTATTCAAATATGATAATAGATTAGTGGCAGGAATGAACGGTGTGTAAATTATATTCTGGCCGGGTAATTTGTATGAATTTTGAGCTAAAACAAATCTTCATTAAATAAAGAAATGTTTGAAAATGCGCTCTGAAATCCATGTCGTAAAACATAGTTCCCAAGGGACGCCGGGGCTTCTCATACCATTCATAGTATTAGGAGAAACTTTAAGAAATATTATTCGACCAGGAACTTTAGCCGGGCATCTTTTGTTGACACTTTTAGGTAATATAGGTCCTTCTTGATCTTTAACTTTAGTATCATTTTTAATGTTGGCTCAAATCCTCCTTTTAATATTAGAATCTGCTGTTGCAATAATTCAATCATATGTATTTGCCGTCCTAAGGAATTTATATGCCAGAGAAGTTAACTAATGTCATCACCACACGGACACCACACTTAACACTTAGTTGATATAAGACCCTGGTAGCATTAGGGCTAAGTACAGTAATCAAGTACAGTAAGTGAAGGGAATAAAGAAAATTATTAATATAATATAACCCCAAACAAAACAAAACCCAATGATAAAAACTTAACATGTAGCATAACTTTATTACAGGGGGCATTGTTGATGTGGTCTGAAAAACTGTTTATAACCCATTCTCTTAATGTTGGGTAGTCAAACTTAGTTTCACTTATCATTTTCTGTCCTGTTCATTAAATATGACAATTTTTTTTTTGGCAGATCGGACCATGCTAGGTATAAGAGGGAGATTTCCAAGAATTCTCCCTAATATAGGGAAATACGGCCTCTCTGAGGAGGCCATTGAAAGATTTACGTATAACACCTCTGTAAGTATGTTTTAATAAAGTATCTATTTCCCTTTTAATTTTTAATGTGATTCTTGGGACAGTACTTTATACTGTAGTGTTTTAACAAATTTTTAAATTAAAGTTATTTATATTCTTCGTGTAGTTGTATCTAAAAATATTAATAATCTTTGTATTTATAGATAAAATGATTTTATTAGTAGAAAATTTTGTAAATAGTAAAATAGTGGTCGTTGAATAACTCGGTATAATAAGAAGAGTTTGACTTGGAACAGTAAACTATTTGCTTTCATTCATGGTTGTTAATACTGTGTGTTTTTTATTTTCAGGAAAAGCAACCATCAAAGAAATTGTGGCAAACATACTAAATATTAACCAAGAACAGCGGAGGTCTTTGACCATCGTCAGATATTAAAACCAATCATTACCTTGAAGAACATTAAAAATCTGAACATCTCAAATTACGCCATAAGGTAAGAGAGAAAGGAAGGGGGGTCACCAACCCTAGAGAAATGTGTGGTCGTTGAATAACTTGGTATAATAAGAAGAATTTGACTTGGAACAGTAAACTATTTGTCTCAAACACAAAAATCGAATTTGACTTTTGAAAGACTGTAGTCAAGTTGTGTTAACTGAAATTTGTTTTATGAATGTGGACCAAGTCGATTTATGAGGTGAAGGACAACAATCGAAATGTGAATAAAGTCGGGCCACGGTGAAAGGGTTAAACATTGACCTCACCTAACCTAACCTTTTCAGGTAGCATTAGGGCTAAGTACAGTAATCAAGTGAAGTAAACTTGGGGGTGTGGTGAAAGAAGACTAGTCGACCTTTTTCTAGTCTATTGTTTATATAACTGACCGAGGGAAGTATGGCATCTGGAAGAGAACAAAAGAATGTTCTAGTAAGTGAAGGGAATAAAGAAATTTATTAATATAATATAACCCCAAACAAAACAAAACCCAATGATAAAAACTTAACATGTAGCATAACTTTATTACGGGGGCATTGTTGACGTGGTCTGAAAAACGGTTTATAACCCATTCTCTTAATGTTGGGTAGTCAAACTTAGACTCACTCATCATTTTCTGTCCTGTTCATTAAATATGACAATTTTTTTTTTTGGCAGATCGTACCATGATGGGTCTTCGGGAGCGAATCAGGCGGCGAATCCTCCCGAACCTTTTTAAATATGGCCTCTCTGAGGCCATTGAAATATTTACGTAAAACACCTCTGCATAAGTATGCTTTAATAAAGTTTATTTCCCTTTTAATTTTTAATGTGATTCTTGGGACAGTACTTTATACTGTAAAGTGTTTTAACAAATTTTTAAATTAAAGTTATTTATATTCTTGTAGTTGTATCTAAAAATATTAATAATCTTTGTATTTATAGATAAAATGATTTTATTAAAAATATAAGTTACTTTAGGGATAACAGCGTTATTTATTTTGAGTTCATATCGACAAAAAAGTTTGCGACCTCTATGTTGAATTAAAAATTCGCCATGGGGTAGTGGAGGAGGTCTGTTCGACCTTTAGATTTTTACATGATTTGAGATTAAACCGGCGTGAGCCAGGTTGGTTTCTATCTTTTAAGAAAGCAAGAATTACTTTAGTACGAAAGGATTTAGTAATTAAAATAATTTTTAAATGTAGATTAATTATATTACTTTGGCAGATACGATGCATCAGACTTAGGATCTAATTAGTGTTTTCTATAAGTAATAAACATTTTATTAAAAAATTTTTGAATAAAATAGTTTGCGATAGCTTTAGTTATATTTGTGAGTTATTTAATTTTAATTATTTGTGTTCTTGTAGGTGTCACATTTGTTACATTGCTTGAACGTAAAATTTGAGGGTATATCCAAATTCGTAAGGGACCAAATAAAGATGGTTTTATTGGATTGCTACAACCCTTTGCGGACGCTGTGAAATTGTTTACTAAAGAGCAAACTGTGCCTGTAAAATCTAACATTCTGCCATATTATGCTTCACCTGTTTTTAGTTTTACTGCATTAATTGTGTGGCTAGTAATTCCTTATGAAGTTGGAATAATAAATTTAAATATAGGAGTAACTTTTTCTTTTGTTTAGGATTAGGGGTTTATTCGACTATAAGAGCTGGTTGAGCTTCTAATATTAAGATAAGTAACCCATTTAATCTAACCGTGCCCGACCAATTACCCAAATGTAGCCGCAATGAAGTCAAATAATGGTCCTACATGAATAAATCGGACTGCTAATCACTTCTCGACTAGTATTTGGTGTTGCAAAGTCAAAAAAAATTGGAAAACTTAATTTAATCTGAGTTAATAGATCGCGTGCTTGTACCGAGGAATTACCCAAATGTAGCCGCAATGAAGTCAAAGGATGGTCGTACAAGTGTAAATCGGGCTGTGAATCGCTTCTCGATTTGTATTTGGTGTCATAAAGTCACAAAAAAATTGGTAAACTTGATTTAATCCGAGTTGTTAGGTTAGGTACATACACTCGATCTATTGACTCGGATTAAATTAACTTTACCAATTTTTTGTGACTGACACCAAATACTAGTCGAGAAGTGATTGGCAGTCCGATTTATTCATGTAGGACCATTATTTGACTTCGTTGCGGCTACATTTGGGTAAAGTCGGACCGCTAACGAGTAATTACACGTCTTATTCAAATATGATAATAGATTAGTGGCAGGAATGAACGGTGTGTAAATGCAATAATACCCTGGATTTTGTTTTTTGGTTGTTTTATTCACTTAGCGGCTAAGCCCTGGCTATTATTTTTTTGGTCCATAGGTTCCTGCCATGTTTACCTAAACTCCCCACTTAGTCTGGCGTCATCTCCTCCTCCTTATTGGTTAGGTAGGTGTCGATTCCTTTGGCTAAATTAATGTTTTTTGGTGTTTTACTCAAATTTAATCTGTGTAAATTAGCAGTGTTAAAAATGAATGTTAAATTTTTGTATAAACCTTCAACTTCAAATGAATTAAAGGTCAGGTTTGAGTAAAAAAAAATTCGTACCAAAACCCGAAGACAGTCGATGAATGAATATTTTGTTTTGTTTTCTTTAGATGATGGATCCAGTTACTGTTGTGTTAAAGGCCAGTTTGGTGCATCAGTGGTCGTCAGCACCTCCGTATTTATTGAGGTAAGTTTATGAAATTTGCTAAAAAAATCTGAACTTTAATTTTGTTAAAATTCTAAATACTGCAAAATCTTCCTGTGAATACTTGTAATGCCATTTAGACATTCATTAATGGAAAACTTATGGCTTGATGATTTTTCATCCCAGAGCAGCAGCATGGAAGCACAGCACAGGGCAGTGTAGAGGCCAGCAAGAACTTAAAAAATTTTGGATTGGCAGCTTTAGAAAACTGTTGCACTGGGTATTCTTTCCAAATGTCAAAAAAGAACCCAATGAGGCCATGAATGTTAACACTAAACGCACGTTACCAAATTTATTCGAAAAGGAAATGGCGTAAGACTTATCATTCAAAAAGGAAATTGTGCAAGAGCTATCAATCCAGCAGGTAATACAGGTAACTATTCTTAATACGGTTAACTATACTCTTGCTACACTAACCTGGGGCTGCATACTCAAAAACATTTATGGGACTGTATGTCTTTGTGTACCCCGTAACTGGACTTAGTCTCAGATCGGTGTACTCAAAACTTACCCGAACGAATTATTTCACCCGACAGCATATTTCGTCCGGACGTAACCATGGGGATGACTCGGCCAATTCCCACCAAAACCCCAGTCAGGGTAGTGGTGGCCGAAGGGAAGTCGAGGCTGTTGGACGAGGGGCGTTGGTCGTTATGGAAGGTAGCGACAGAACGGGCAAGTCGACACAGGCCAAGATTCTCGTCGAGTCTCTAAACAAGCTTGGAAAACCGACAGTCTTCATGCGGGTCCCAGGTGAGGTACTATGGGGGTCACCTGAAAAATATCCACCCTTGATATAATGGAATTTCATCTCTATATACTGTAGTTCGTTACATAGGGGTTTTAGTCTGACGGACCCTTGATATAATGGACTTTCATCTCTATAGTTCCTTACATAGGGGTTTTATGTCTGATGGACTTGATATAATGAAATCCATAGTAATTTTTTTATTCCTTTAATCTTCAGGATTACCAAAAAGTCACATACAGGGAATATAAATCTAGCATTTGACTTAAAAAAAAATATCTATTTAGTCTTAACACATGTTTCTACCTGAATTGCAGATCTGCCTGGGAAGAAGTGGCAGTCCCTAAAAGAGCATTACGTAAAGCACATTGTTCGAAAGATTGGTGCATACGAGAAAGATAAAACTATAAAATCAAGCATGTTGTTTGTGTAAGTACAGAACAGTACATTGTGTTAACAGTACTGTACGTGGGGAGGCAAAATGGGGGAGACAGTTTTCACAATGATTGCTAACTGTTCATCAGTGAAGTAGACCTATGGCTTTGAACTTAAATCTATAAGCTTCATTGGTATGTGTACCTTGGATACCTTTTTGTCAGGCTACAGACATTTACCAATAGTTGCTGGGAGTGTAAACATACAACCACAAATTAAGAAATTCTTATTTGTTCCTGCTCAAACAAATTGTTTTAAGACAGTCTTTTATCTTAAAAATTTAAAAAAATCCTCATATCAGTTGTCCTGGATTTTATGCCTTCCCTTTTCGTGAAGGTTTCACACTAGTACACGTTGACCAACGTCCAATGCTTTCCTCGAGCTTTCTTATCATACAGAAGCTTCCTACTCACCCTTATTCTCCAAATTATCGTTTGCAACTCTCCAGGCATTCTCTAATACGTCTGTGTAGGGTCACCCAATCGTCACACGAGTCCTCCTCTGCTTGTGCTAACAACATATCTATTATAAGCTTGGGATCAGTACCGAAGATCGAAGTGTGAGGGGAGAACCCAGTGGTCGGGTTAGGAGTCTTATTATAGATGGCGGTTACCATTCCAAAATGCTTGCCCAATGTTTCTTTTGCTTGATTGACAAAGTTCGCAACAATTGGTGCATTGTGCGGTGAAACCTCTCGCACTGTCCATTTCCACAGCACCTCTGCATAATGAATCTAGTGGTGCATTCGATGCCCTGATGACCCCATGTCGTCATGCAAAAGTTTCATTACCTTCCCCTTCAAGGTAGTAGGCAAAACTAGTTGTTTTAGCTCCTTCTGGGCTCTACACGGCATTGCTCTTTTAGTTGATACAGTATGTAACAGCACCTTTGCTTTATATAAATATTCACCCAAATTAATAGCACCAAGTTATTCAACGACCACACACTTCTCTGGGGTTGGTGACCCCCTTCCTTTCTCTTTTGCCTAATGGCGTAGTTTGTGATCTTCAGTTGGTGATCTGAAAATAAAAAAACATTATTAACAACCATGAATGAAAGCAAATAGTTTACTGTTCCAAGTCAAACTCTTCTTATTATACCGAGTTATTCAACGACCACACATTTCTCTGGGGTTGGTAACCCCCCTTCCTTTCTCTTTTGCCTAATGGTGTAATTTGAGATCTTCAAATTTTTCATTAAGGCAATGATGGGTTTTAGTATGATGTTGTCATCTTTTTTGTGGTCAAAGACCTCCTCCGTTCTTGGTTTATATTTAATATGTCTACTACAATTTCTTTGATGGTTGTTTTTCCTGAAAATAAAAAACACACAGTATTAACAACCATGAATGAAAGCAAATTGTAGACCTATGGCTTTGAACTTAAATCTATAAGCTTCATTGTTATGTGTACCTTGGATACCTTTTTGTCAGGCTACAGACATTTACCAATAGTTGTCGTGAGTGTAAACATACAACCACAAATTAAGAAATTCTTGTTTGTTCCTGCTCCAAAAAATTGTTTTAAGACAGTGTTTTATCTTAAAAATTTAAAAAAATTCTCGTATCAGTTGTCCTGGATTTTATGCCTTCCCTTTTCGTGAAGGTTTCGCACTAGTACACGTTGACCAACGTCCAATGCTTTCCTCGAGCTTTCTTATCATGCAGAAGCTTCCTACTCTGACCCTTATTCTCCAAATTATCGTTTGCAACCATGAATGAAAGCAAATAGTTTACTGTTCCAAGTCAAACTCTTCTTATTATACCGAGTTATTCAACGACCACACATTTCTCTGGGGTTGGTGACCCCCCTTCCTTTCTCTTTTGCCTTATGGCATAATTTGAGATTTTCAGATTTTTAATGTTCATCAAGGTAGTGATTGGTCTTAATATCTGACGATGGTGTATCTTTATTGTGGTCAAAGACCACCGCTGTTCTTGGTTAATATCTAGTATGTTTGCCACAATTTCTTTGATGGTTGCTTTTCCTGAAAATAAAAAACACAGTATTAACAACCATGAATGAAAGCAAATTGTAGACCTATGGCTTTGAACTTAAATCTATAAGCTTCATTGTTATGTGTACCTTGGATACCTTTTTGTCAGGCTACAGACATTTACCAATAGTTGTCGTGAGTGTAAACATACAAACACAAATTAAGAAATTCTTATTTGTTCCTGCTCAAAAAAATTGTTTTAAGAGTGTTTTATCTTAAAAATTTAAAAATTTCTCGTGATCAGTTGTCCTGATTTTATGCCTTTCGTGAAGGTTTCACACTAGTACACGCTGGACCAACGCCCAATGCTTTCTCGAGCTTTATCATGCAGAAGCTTCCGCTCTGGACCCTTATTCTCCAAATTATCGCTATAAATCATGGAATGAAAGCAAATAGTTTACTGTTCCAAGTCAAACTCTTCTTATTATACCGAGTTATTCAACGACCACACATTTCTCTGGGGTTGGTGACCCCCCTTCCTTTCTCTTTTGCCTTATGGCATAATTTGAGATTTTCAGATTTTTAATGTTCTTCATCAAGGTAGTAATTGGTCTTAATATCTGACGATGGTGTATCTTTTTTGTGGTCAAAGACCACCGCTGTTCTTGGTTAATATCTAGTATGTTTGCCACAATTTCTTTGATGGTTGCTTTTCCTGAAAATAAAAAACACACAGTATTAACAACCATGAATGAAAGCAAATAGTTTACTGTTCCAAGTCAAACTCTTCTTATTATACCGAGTTATTCAACGACCACACATTTCTCTGGGGTTGGTGACCCCCCTTCCTTTCTCTTGCCTTATGGCATAATTTGAGATTTTCAGATTTTTAATGTTCAAGGTAGTGATTGGTCTTAATATCTGACGATGGTGTATCTTTTTTGTGGTCAAAGACCACCGCTGTTCTTGGTTAATATCTAGTATGTTTGCCACAATTTCTTTGATGGTTGTGTTTCCTGAAAATAAAAAACACAGTATTAACAACCATGAATGAAAGCAAATAGTTTACTGTTCCAAGTCAAACTCTTCTTATTATACCGAGTTATTCAACGACCACACATTTCTCTGGGGTTGGTGACCCCCCTTCCTTTCTCTTGCCTTATGGCATAATTTGAGATTTTCAGATTTTTAATGTTCTTCATCAAGGTAGTGATTGGTCTTAATATCTGACGATGGTGTATCTTTTTTGTGGTCGAAGACCACCGCTGTTCTTGGTTAATATCTAGTATGTTTGCCACAATTTCTTTGATGGTTGCTTTTCCTGAAAATAAAAAACACACAGTATTAACAACCATGAATGAAAGCAAATTGTTTACTGTTCCAAGTCAAACTCTTCTTATTATACCGAGTTATTCAACGACCACACATTTCTCTGGGGTTGGTGACCCCCCTTCCTTTCTCTTTTGCCTAATTGCATAATTTGAGATGTTCAAATTTTTCATTAAGGCAATGATGGGTTTTAGTATCTGATGTTGTGTCACGGCCCTTTCTAGGTTCTTTTTTTACATTATTTTTGGAAAGATTACCCAGTGCAACTGTTTTCTTAAGCTGCCATTCATTTTTTTTTTAAATAGAATATCTGATAACCATAGTTTGGGTATTGACCTGTTATATAATAACAACTTTTCAAAACAAAGAGAATAATCTTTTCTACTACCCAAGTAAAAACAAAAATTATAATGACCTTTGAATCCTTGGGACGAAGCATTATGTAAAGTGTGAATCTTCCTAGGAATATCATACTTGGTAAATATCTCATCAACCAGGGTCTTTGTTGCTACAGTTGTTGCCTTCTGATTCTGTGTTGAATGCCCAGGCATACTTAGAGAACACATGTCACCAGCACATTTTCTCTGCCGTCACGTGAAGGTTCTAGTACTGTAAAATCCACCGTCTCGGTGTCAAAGAGTCGCCTTTTCCTTTTGGTATAAGCCTGATTAACGGTGTTTTATGAAAAAAGTCACGGCTCTTTCTAGGTTCTTTTTTTACATTATTTTCGTAAAGATTACCCACTGCAAGGGTTTTCTTAAGCTGCCATTCATTTTTTTTTTTAAATAGAATATCTGATAACCATAGTTTGGGTATTGACCTTCTGTTATATAATAACAACTTTTCAAAACAAAGAGAATAATCTTTTCTACTACCCAAGTAAAAACAAAAATTATAATAACCTTTGAATCCTTGGGACGAAGCATTATGTAAAGTGTGAATCTTCCTAGGAATATCATATTTGGTAAATATCTCATCAACCAGGGTCTTTGCTACAGTTGTTGACTTATGTTTCTGTGTTGAATGCCCAGGCATACTTAGAGAACACATCTGTCACCACCGGCACATTTTCTCTGCCGTCACGTGAAGGTTCTAGTACTGTAAAATCCACCGTCTCGGTGTCAAAGAGTCGCCTTTTCCTTTTGGTATAAGCCTGATTAACGGTGTTTTATGAAAAAAGTCACGGCCCTCTCTAGGTTCTTTTTTTACATTATTTTTGGAAAGATTACCCAGTGCAACTGTTTTCTTAAGCTGCCAATCATTTTTTTTTTAAATAGAATATCTGATAACCATAGTTTGGGTATTGACCTTCTGTTATATAGTAACAACTTTTCAAAACAAAGAATAATCTTTTCTACTACCCAATTAAAAAAAATTATAATGACCTTTGAATCCTTGGGACGAAGCATTATGTAAAGTGTGAATCTTCCTAGGAATATCATATTTGGTAAATATCTCATCAACCAGGATCTTTGTTGCTACAGTTGTTGACTTATGTTTCTGTGTTGAATGCCCAGGCATACTTAGAGAACACATCTGTCACCATCAGCACATTTTCTCTGCCGTCACTTTAAGGTTCTAGTACTGTAAAATCCACCGTCTCGGTGTCAAAGAGTCCCCTTTTCCTTTTGGTATAAGCCTGATTAACGGTGTTTTATGAAAAAAGTCACGGCCCTTTCTAGGTTCTTTTTTTACATTATTTTCGTAAAGATTACCCACTGCAAGGGTTTTCTTAAGCTGCCAATCATTTTTTTTTTTTTTAATAGAATATCTGATAACCATAGTTTGGGTATTGACCTTCTGTTATATAATAACAACTTTTCAAAACAAAGAGAATAATCTTTTCTACTACCCAAGTAAAAACAAAAATTATAATGACCTTTGAATCCTTGGGACGAAGCATTATGTAAAGTGTGAATCTTCCTAGGAATATCATATTTGGTAAATATCTCATCAACCAGGGTCTTTGCTACAGTTGTTGACTTCTGTTTCTGTGTTGAATGCCCAGGCATACTTAGAGAACACATCTGTCACCACCGGCACATTTTCTCTGCCGTCACGTGAAGGTTCTAGTACTGTAAAATCCACCGTCTCGGTGTCAGTCACCTTTTCCTTTTGGTATAAGCCTGATTAACGGTGTTTTATGAAAAAAGTCACGGCCCTCTCTAGGTTCTTTTTTTACATTATTTTTGGAAAGATTACCCAGTGCAACTGTTTTCTTAAGCTGCCAATCATTTTTTTTTTAAATAGAATATCTGATAACCATAGTTTGGGTATTGACCTTCTGTTATATAGTAACAACTTTTCAAAACAAAGAATAATCTTTTCTACTACCCAATTAAAAAAAATTATAATGACCTTTGAATCCTTGGGACGAAGCATTATGTAAAGTGTGAATCTTCCTAGGAATATCATATTTGGTAAATATCTCATCAACCAGGATCTTTGTTGCTACAGTTGTTGACTTATGTTTCTGTGTTGAATGCCCAGGCATACTTAGAGAACACATCTGTCACCATCAGCACATTTTCTCTGCCGTCACTTTAAGGTTCTAGTACTGTAAAATCCACCGTCTCGGTGTCAAAGAGTCCCCTTTTCCTTTTGGTATAAGCCTGATTAACGGTGTTTTATGAAAAAAGTCACGGCCCTTTCTAGGTTCTTTTTTTACATTATTTTTGGAAAGATTACCCAGTGCAACTGTTTTCTTAAGCTGCCAATCATTTTTTTTTAAATAGAATATCTGATAACCATAGTTTGGGTATTGACCTTCTGTTATATAATAACAACTTTTCAAAACAAAGAGAATAATCTTTTCTACTACCCAATTAAAAAAAATTATAATGACCTTTGAATCCTTGGGACGAAGCATTATGTAAAGTGTGAATCTTCCTAGGAATATCATATTTGGTAAATATCTCATCAACCAGGATCTTTGTTGCTACAGTTGTTGACTTATGTTTGTGTTGAATGCCCAGGCATACTTAGAGAACACATCTGTCACCATCAGCACATTTTCTCTGCCGTCACTTTAAGGTTCTAGTACTGTAAAATCCACCGTCTCGGTGTCAGAGTCCCCTTTTCCTTTTGGTATAAGCCTGATTAACGGTGTTTTATGAAAAAAGTCACGGCCCTTTCTAGGTTCTTTTTTTACATTATTTTTGGAAAGATTACCCAGTGCAACTGTTTTCTTAAGCTGCCATTCATTTTTTTTTAAATAGAATATCTGATAACCATAGTTTGGGTGTTGACCTGTTATATAATTACTTTTCAAAACACTGGCAAATATGGGTGGAGGGGGGGGGGGTGATGATAGCAGCTGTGTTTATTACCGGGGTACATTGTTCTTTTACGGTATGTTAGACTGGTTTATAATACATTTCTATTATTTTAATATACCGGTAATCTTCATTTTAATCCAGCTTCCCAAACGTAAGTTTCAGTATAAAATAATTAGTGGTAGGACCTTGTGAGTGGTTTACCATGTTTCCATCACCACTCTTGACACGCTAAACTGCAATATTTAAGAGGTAAGAATTTTATCTCTGGTGCTTAAGATGACCCCCTAACTTAGGGTTGATTTTTTTTTTTTCAAATTCCGTCTTGTAGGCCGAGATATACGGTATATCTTAAAAGAAAGCTTTATTGGAGAGCAATTGCTTGCAGGACTGGGATTTTATGGAGCAGAACCTTGATAAATCTGACTAATTGGGGCAGACGGCTAGTCCAAAAAATTTGAAAGTTGTAAAAGTGTTGCACTTTAATATATAAGGTCTTTAAGTGTATTGGCTGGCTGCTCTCCTGGGTGGAGCATTTATCTAGCCATGTGTTTTCTATTAATAAATGTCTATCATTGTCTTAACCTTTTGAAGTATTTTGAATTTTAACAATGTTAAGATTTTGAAGTAAAATAATTTCATATAGTATTTGGAAATTTAACTATTTATTGTATATACAAATATAACAATGAAAAATATATAAATTGAAAAAAATAAAATATATGAATAATGGCATGAATAATTTACCCCTAAAACCACAAACATTTTTATTACTCAAAATTTACCCAGGAATAATTTGGGCCATTTTTGGACTTAAAGTATTTTATAACAATGAATTTTTTGACTTGTAAATATTAATGTTAAGCCCATTTAGACATTAATAGATAAATACAAAAATATTTGGCATAATTAGATTTAATACATCAAAATAATACTGACATTTCGGTGCTACTATAATATACTGTACAGTCTACTGGGGTATTTACACTGTACCCTTGTTAAATAGGATCCCTGTAATTTGGATTTTGCTTTAATGTGTCAAAAAATGAATTAAACGATTTATATTCGGAATGAATCGGAAATAACCGAGTGGTTCAAAAAGTTGCCTTGGCTGTCGTGTACAATATTCTATTTATAATTATTGTGCAAATATTAAATAGTTTTAAAATGTAGATGCAATAATAAAGTAGAGATATTAATATATAGTGTGAGGTGAGATCGTGGATGATATTTCTAGTGTAACGGCCACACTGGTAAATGAAGTAAAAACCCTCATTGGAGAAAAAAAAGATGAAATTTTGGAGCTGGTTTGACTATAGTGCATTTTTTTATCAGCTAAGAGATGCCCCGCCCCCTCCTCAAGAGTTACACCTGATTGGCTGTTGCAATTCTGTCCAATTTAGTCCTGAAGTAATGATATTTCTAAATGAGTTTATTCATAATGACCGTTTCTGACGAGAAAGATATTTAGTTAAATTATAAAAGATCATACATTAATTATTTCAAACATGAGCACATAGGAAGTTTATCAGAAATATTATACATGAATTAACTGTTAAACTCTGGTGGCAAATTGACTTTCGGTGGACGCATTTAATATATATTTATTTTGACCCACAATAAGACATACTGTACTAAGACAAATTACATATCAATAATATTACATTATGCAAAAACTAACATTTTGAAAGATCAGAATCATATTGAAATATTACTCGGCCGTCAGCAGAGGCGGGGAAACGTGAAGTTAACAGTTAATTCATGTATAATATTTCTGATAAACTTCCTATATGCTCATGTTTGAAGTAATGAAGGTATGTATCAATATAATTTAGCTAAATATCTTTCTCATCAGAAATGGTCATTATGAATAAACTCATTTAGCAATACTGTACATGATTACTTCAGGACGAAATTGGACAGATTTGAAACAGTCAATCAGGTGTAACTCTTGAGGAGGGGGCGGCGCATCTCTTCTCAGCTGGGATAAAACACACTATAGGTCCCTCTTGTGCCAACTAACACAACAAAACAAGGGAGAAACACGAAGAACAAAGGAACGGTCTCCTGAGTTAGATAGGTTGGGGATTAATCTTCAGTGGACCCGACCTGATCCTCAATACTATTACACTTTCTAAATATCAACATATCAGTTCACCTCACAATGTGCAGTAAGTCTTACATCTATTTATTACTGTATTATAAACTTCATTATTACTGTTTGTACACGTAAAAAGTATTTGTTCACAGTAATTATAAATAAGATTATTTTATGTGGCAGTCAAGGCATGGTGAGTATGTTTGTTGGTTGGAATAATGAGGTACAAATTGAACAAAAATTGATAAATTGTCGTATAATGTCAAAATATTTGGAACTCGGTTAGTTTGTATTTTCAGTAATTCGGTGGACCACAAACACTATACCCTCATTGATTTGATAAAAAGACTGGGTCACTCGAATTACTGAAAGTACGAATTAACTGAGTTGCGAATATTTTGACATGACTGTACCGTATATATCTTCAAGTACAGTTTGTCACAATATATACTGTATATTGGTATATTTTTATTACCCACACTACAGTGTAACTCAGGTTACAAGACTACTGTATAACTCGGGTAACCTGGATCCTGCTTGACCGACGTCCAGCACACCACTTCCCTCTCAACACACACAAAGTCGTCATACACACACACAATAAGTCGAATTCAATCCAGTTACTCCCATGATATGTTGAGAGAGCGTAATGACCCGACCTGACCTTCCGGGGGGGTGAAGCTACTACACAAAGGTGGATATTTCTATAAGACGGTCGAATCTTTTTCATATCGTCCGGTATAGGGAGGATTTATATATAAAGGATCTCGATATAACGTACATTCCTTTCCTATATACGAGTCCGTTAAATGAAGGCTTTACATACACGACCTCGATATAACGGATTACCCTCCTCACTATAACACATAAAAATTATATATAACAAACTATAATTCGATATATGAAACACAATTGGTACATTAAAACAGTCGGTTTGTTACTCGGCCGCAGTTACCAACCGGTTTTTATACGGACATTAACAGAGGACGCTTTATACCGAGTCAATTTTCGTTTTTTATTAAGGTTTCAGGATTAATTGGTCAAGGTTACTTATACTTTACACTTAAACCCATACTTATACTTTACACTTAAACCAATCCTCACACTTTAAACCTGTTCGTATAGTTTACACTTAGCCTGTTCTACTTTAGTTACACATGTACTTGTACTTAAACCAATACTCACTTGTATTACTTAACACAGTAACAGGCGGGGTTAGTGACTCTAACCTATATGGCTATACTACTTTAAGCTTTAACATCTGGCAACACTGCTGTATCCCAGAAGTGTACTGAAGGGAGATATTTGAGGAGGAGGGTTGAGATGCAAGAAGGTAGAGTTAGCAAGTGAGAGATTTGATAGCAGGTGAGCCATCCCAGGTTAAGAGCAGTATGGCAACATTTCCATCACCAGCAACACCCTCTATGACCTGCCAGATGTAGAAAAACATCAACTTGGTGACTTACAATCATATAACCCAAATACTATTAAGAAACTGATGAATAATATTAAAAACGATGAAAGATTAAGAAGTTATCGGAGAGGAAGCTCAACATAGATGCCGGTCAGCAAGTTGTGACCATCTTCACTTACCAGCAACAGTATAAACCTTTCACTACAGTGTTAAGGTCGAACTTGGGGAGATTAGTCCCTGGAGGTCGGCATACACCACCCAGGGTGAAACCTCTTCATTAAAAACACATTTATTGTTTTTGTTATATTACGTGGTCATACTGCAGTACAGTATTGAAGACAGCGGAAATTTGGTTATGAGAACACACTTCCTTGTGCACCTGAAGATTGGTATAAATTACTACATGTGCAATAAATCTTGGCCCAAGACAGACGAGGACTGGGTACCCTAGCTTTAAACATTACGACAAAACTTCATATTAATGTTGTCTTTATGTTGATGTTTATAGAAAACATTAACAGTATGTGAGTAATGAATGATAACCTAATAAATGAGAGAGACAGAGGAGTTCAACACCACACAGTACAGCAATACTCACTAGAAGTGTGTACAGGTTCAGACAGAATAGAGGGAGAGGAACTTGTCCGCCTCAGCTGTCTTGACATAAGCAAGTTTGTGGATGACACCAAAATAGGGCGGCAGATTATTTCAGGGCAGGATGCAAATTCATTACAGGAGGATCTAAATAAACTGCAGGGGTGGTCTGAAAAATGGCAAATGAAATTCAACACCAGCAAGTGCAGCGTACTTAATATTGGAAGAACAAATACCGTCAATGTATACAGCCTTAACATCAACCTAGAGAAGTCGACTTGTGAAAGAGACTTAGGGGTACTTGTAAGCCCGGACCTACGGCCTAGAAAACAGTGCGTTAATGTTCAAAATAAGGCAAACAGAGTATTGGGTTTTATATCTAGAAGTACCAGTTACAAGAGTGCAGAGGT